TCGCGAGATCCAGCGTCCGCACAAGGACCCGGAGATCTTCTTCGCACGCAACACCAATCCAAAGTCCAAGTTATGATGTGCTTGCCATGTGACTTGGGTCCTCTCTCGATAATCTACGATTCCCGCTCCCAACTTCCCCAATTTCCCAACCTTCCGCGCAGTTTCCTCCGCCCAATCGCCTGTGAAAAGTGAATCCTAAACTAAACTTTATTTCTATATGTAAACCTATATCTGTCTATGGTTGTCTGTAAGCTGCTTTTGTTATTTGCCTCATGTACATAGCGTTATATACCTAACAAACATATATATATATATATATATCTATATATACGGAGTAATTACGATACGGTTACGTGTATGGAATCATTTTAGTCGGAACACGCGGTTGCCTTGCATTGAATATTTCAGAGAAATATCGGGCACAACTACTTAAGACATCTACAAGAGACGTAATCCTAACGTTTAAGTTAATTAGTTAAACAGTGAAAGCGAGAAAGCATGAAAACGATAAGCGATAAAAGCAAACCAACACATTTTGTATGTCCCAACTGAATTTATTAAATACCTAATTAAACATGTATAAAAGTATATATGGTATTAAAACCTAGTTTAAATCTGGAGTTCTCTCCTCCAATCGTGGGTAAAGGCTCTCCTTTGTCACATTTTTTTTATCACGCTTCTGTTTGAAATTTAATAGCACCTCATTTTTCGAGTAGAAGAGGCACAATGTTCTTGATAAACCACTCTTTGGATATGGCCAAGTGATCACCTTCAATGCCGAGGAAGACGAGTTTTCCCTCGCTTTCCATCTTATCCAAATGCAACTGGGGGAGGAACAAAGAAGATTATATGTTAAGGCCGCAAAAGGATTATTATCATGAATATACGAACATCTTGATAGGCTTTGCTCTCATTGAAAGGCTGGATGATTCTGTCCTGTCCGCTGGTGTAGAATTGGAACCACTGGGACTCCTTCGGCTGGACAATCGTATCGTTCAAGAACATAACCATTACGAATCTGCAAGGCAAGGTTTATACATTATTCGATAGAGAATATTCCTGGGTTATTCCAAGTTTCATAAAGTATATGCTCTAGGACTTTCGAGACTTACTTCTTTAGCTTCTGGAGGTTCTCCACGTAGTAGGTGTTGAGGTACAGCTCGTTGTTAATGTTGGCCAGGAATGTGCTGCCCAGGCGGTAGTGGTTCTCCATGATCGGATCATGCCAGTAGGTGGCCTGCACCAAGTTATGTTGGGCCTCCCTATAAGAACGAATATAACCCATCGTTTAGAAAGAGATGGAGACAATTCGTGAAATATCGGGGAACATAAACTCCGCGGTATGCAAACAAATCCCTGAAAAGGGGCTGAACGAAGCTATTTTTTTATGTTTATTGTTTCAAGCTTTTCCGCTGATCGTTCTGTTTGCTTGTTCTTACTCGTTTTCAAGACAACATATAAAAGAAAAAATGGGAATAGTCTGCAAATTTTTCCAGAAATTAATGTTTTTAAAGATAATTTAAAATGAACAAAGAAACTGAAATGCTATTTGACATGACAAGTTAGGATCGAATGCAGAATCTAAACCGGAAGTTCCTCTACTTTGCTATTATCAGACCGGCAGCCATCTTTATTCGATGACATGACTTCAGATCACATCTTATTTGGGAATACTCAAGAATATTTTTTCTGAAGTAGAGCTCTTTAAAAATAATGCAAGGAAACCAGAAAAATACTTAAATGATATAATAAGTTGTGATCTAATGCAGAATCTGATCCAGAACTCTACCTGGCTGTTATCAGACCGGTAACCATCTCTTTTCATTGATATGATTTCGGATCAAATCCTGTTCGGGTACTCCACTGTGTACCAGTACTCACTCCGAGTAGGCGGCACTGTTGAGGAGCCGGCTAATGTAGTCACAGGACTTCTGGCTGAGCGTGGGGCACATGGGCAGCCCGAAGACGCCCTGGTGCTGGCCGCCGAGGCTGATGAGGGTCCTCATCGGCGGCTGGGGGCAGCGCTGGGCCACCGCCCGCAGGAACTGGCCGCCCTGCGAGAAGCCGATGGCGTTGTAGCCCTTGGCCAGCCGCTCGTCCTGCAGCAACTGCTGGCATACCCACTCCACCTGCTCGTCGGGATGGATGAAGAAGCCGCTCTGCCAGTCCAGGATCGGATTGCCGCCAATCTGCAGGGACCGCACGTAGCCGCCCTTCGTCTGCTCCACGATGAGGCTCATGATGGCGCCCAGGCTGAAGGGCATGCAGCAGGTGTCGCCCATGCCGTGCCACAGGACCACGGGCAGGACATCCGGATTGGTGCCGCCGGCCGTCGGCTTCCACCACTTGTAGATCACAATCAAGAGCGCGATCAACAGCACGATCAGCGTCTTAGTTTTGCAGCCCATTATTCTTGTAGATATGACATTCTAAGTTAGAGGTAATCAACGATGTCGACTGCAGGGGCTATCGATACTAAGGGTATTCCCCCTACTGCACTTGGCTGCGCCAGTGATGCGCAATAAAATAGCTACGTTCACCTCGGGAATGGGTATTTGCCTATTTATAAGCTAGCTCATAGTTTTAAACTTTAAGGTAGCTTAATATAAATAAATTAATAGAGTATATAACAACTCAGTCGTTAGATAAGTCTTTAAATCTGTCTTTCGTATGACCATATTTTTTAACAATTGCCTTTAACCCCTAACATATTTTCCAACACTGGCGAAAGAGCCTTGGGGGAATACCCCCACTGGTAAACAAATGCCTAACAGCTGATAGTTAGTGCACATTTTATCTCGTGTGTTTCATTTTTTGATTAATTTCTTCGTAAATTAAGAATTCCATCAGCCATGTTAACAAATTAATCTTAAGAATCCGGCTTAATCTATTTGTACCTTTGATTAGTTAAGGGTTTACCAGTATTTGTACTTCATGAAAGGAGCGCCCTGTTTAAGTCTCATCATGAAAGCTACTCTGCAACAGCGTGGGAAAATAAATCTATCCCTCAAGGAGTGTGATTTGGAACGTACTTTGCTTGGAGGACAAAGTTTTCGGTGGGTGGCTTAAATAAATATTAAAATATGAATACAAATATCTAAACAACAAAAACATTATCTTTCAGTTGGCGATCCATTTGTGATGGCAAGAGAACGAAATATTCCGGAGTCGTTTTCAACACTTACTGGGTTCTCGAGCAGGAAGAGTCCTGCATAACTTACGAGGCGTACGGAACCACTCCATCAATAATAACCCCTCTGGACCACACATCCTTAATATCGGACTACCTCCGGGCTGATTTCGATTTAAAACTCAACCAAAGCGATTGGTTAAACAGGGATGAGAACTTTGTGAAGTTCTTAAGTAAGCCTGTCCGCGTACTTTCTCAGGAGCCTTTCGAGAACATTTTCAGCTTTCTCTGCAGTCAAAACAATAACATCAAGCGGTAAAGTAGGTCCAGTTTCCAATCCCTTTCCCTTCACTCATTACACCTCTTTTCTTTTAGGATATCTTCTATGATCCAATGGTTCTGTGGAACTTTCGGCACCAAGATTGGTCATTTTAACGGTTCCGATGAGTTTACATTTCCCACATTGAATAGATTTCAGGACATATCATGCGACGATCTAAATGCCCAATTAAGGGCTGCTAAATTCGGGTACCGGGCCAAGTTCATAGCCCAAACTTTGCAAGAGATCCAGAAAAAGGGTGGACAAGGGTGGTTTATAAGACTGAAGAGTTTGCCATTCGAGAAGGCGCGCGAGGAACTGACCCAGCTTCCCGGAATCGGATACAAAGTGGCCGATTGCATCTGCCTTATGTCAATGGGTCATTTGGAGTCCGTGCCCGTTGACATACACATCTACAGAATTGCCCAGAAATACTACCTGCCGCATCTAGCCGGCCAAAAGAACGTATCCAAAAAGATATATGATGAGGTTTCGTATCACTTTCAAAACTTACATGGACAATATGCCGGTTGGGCTCAAGCCGTAAGTACACCTAAACCAGAACTTGGGACATTATGTTCCTTACACATCATTTTTACAGATTCTTTTTTCTGCTGATTTGGGACAATTTCAAGACACATCCACAGATGATTCTAAAAAGAAATCTAATAAAAGGCTTAAAAAATAATAATAATTTGTATTTGATTGATCTTTCAACAATTGGGGTCGAAAAATAGAGATTAGAATTTCAGACAAAAATACACCTATTTTTTTTATGTTTTCCAACGTAACTTGGTTAAAACGGGGCGCACAGCTGAAAGACCGTCTGTTTTGAGCAGCTAACAACCTAGGCTTCCGATTCCCGTAACTTTTCCGGAAATCAATTTTTTGAATAAATTTCACATTTTTTATAAGGGGTAACATCGTCTATTTTTGAGAAAATCGGTCAAAAATTAAAATTTACGGGTTTGAATGCCAATCGATTGGGAATTTAATTACGATCTCAACGAGGTATGACATTCCCAATTCCGACTTTATTTCGCAAAACGATTGCCAAAAAACCTAGTTTGTTTGGGTCAAAAAATCGGTAGAAGGATTTCAGACAAAAATACCATGTTTTTTTTTGCAGTTTTTCAATCGTAACTTGGTCAAAACGAGGCGCACAGTTGAAAGACTAACAGTTTTGAGCAGCTAGCAACTTAGGCTAACGATCCCCATGCATTTTTGGAAAACTTATTTTTTGACCAATTTTCTCATTTTTCATCGTCTATTTTTGCGAAAATCGGTCAAAAATTAAAGTTTACGGATTTGAATGCCAATCGATTGGAAATTTAATTACGAGCTCGACGAGGTATGACATTCCTTATTTCAATCTTATTTCGTAAAATGATTGCCAAAATACCTAGTTTTTTTGGGTCGAAGAACATAATATTTTTTTTACAAAAATTGGTCAAAAATTTTTGTTTCCAGGTTTCATTGCCAATCGATTGTGATTTTTATTACGAATTCGACAAGGTGTGGCATTTCATATTTGAACCTTTATTTTTATTGTTTCACACATAACACTGAATTTGTTGGGTGAAAAATCTGGATCTTGGTTTTTGGTAATAATCTGCCAAAATTTTATTATAAAGTCAGGGAGGTATTATCCATTGTTTTTGCCAACAAGTTAGATTTGGAAAACGATGAATATAGTGGTATTTTTCGTACGATTGTGGCCGATACTATATATTTAAAGCTCGCATTTATAAATCTTTTATTTTTGCTATATTTCTTGAAAAAGCAAAAACACGTTAGTCATCTTACATTTTCTTTATTGCTAAACAAAAATCCTTATACAGACGTAAATGATTAAATAAAATGCACATTAAATGTCCTTTATATACACCGCCATTTTTTTGTGTACAGTGTTCGCTCGAATTGTAAACCATGAAATTCGGATTGATGGGGATGCAATCTCGAAATATACTGATAATGGTAATCTCTTTTTTTTAGTTATTAAAAATTATTTAGTGGTAAAAAATCACAATTTTACTGGATCAGTTATATAACATAAGGACACATATTAGTAGAGTGTATAAAGAGGAAATCAAAGAATAAATGATGAACCAATTTTGGATTACCTGTTCTAGATAAAGGTTCATGAATAATATTTCATATAGGGGCAATTTTAATGGATTGTGGAAATATGAAAAATATACTTTAGTGAGTGAGCACTGTACGAGTGTGAGTAGCTGTATCTTTATCCGCTTCTGTATCTGTATCCGCTCCTCGGTCCGAATCTTTATCCCTATCCTTAATCCTTGTCTAAAGGACGCCATTCGCCTCCGCTGATCCCCCTGACCCCTGGGTGCTCTGCTGTTGTTGCTGGAGCTTGCTGCTCTGCGAGAAATCGATACAGGCGCCGGAGGTGAGGTCGATCTCCTCGGAGTCGGAGCCGTCGGATCCCTCATCGGAGTGTCCGGAGAGGGCGCTCATCCCGCCCAGCTCCATGCCGTGCGTGGGCGCCTTGTAGAGCTTCAGTTCCGTGTAGGTCTTCGATAGCTTCTCCTGATCATGGGCCTGCTGCTGGTGTCCCTGTTGCTGCTGCTGTTGTTGCTGCTGCTGCTGCTGCTGCTGTTGCTGGAATGCCGGGTGCATCATGGTGAAGCTGGCGGAACTGGGTCCGTTGCCCACCTCCCCCAGGTCGGAGTCCTTGCCGGCGGAGGAGAGGTTCTCGGGCGTCTGGCTGGCCGGTCGCGATGGAGCGCCGGGAGCGGATCCCCCCTGAACCGCCCCGCCGCCCATTACAGGGGGCGTGCCCAGGCTGAGGCACCGCATCCGCCAGGCGTCCTGGAGCAGCTGCAGGCGCGCCTGCTTGCGCCACTTGGCACGCCGGTTCTGGAACCACACCTATTGGAAAAGGAATGCCAGAATTGTATAATTTATTTTTGATACTTAAAGTATTCTTTTTGTAATTCTATAAGTTTTAAAAATATTTGTGCATTTAACTGTTAATTTAAAATTCACATTTTGCAATAATGTCCTTAAAAAAAAACATATTTCTTTTTTAACGCATTGTATTGAACGTAACTACGAGCACGTCATACATGCTTTTTTAATTTTGTAAGCCTTTGGATATCATCGTTAACAAAACTTCTTTAAAAAATGTATTATATAATATAAAACCAATTATTATTTAGAAAAAAAATATACATCATTTTTAACTAAAATAAAAAAATACATGTTTTTAAATTTTATGGTCGTTGAAATATCAAGCGGTTAATCATAAGTCAACTACTTTTAAGCCATCAAATAAATAGGAATCTAATTAAAAGATTATAACAACCTTACTAAACTAAAAATCTTGTTCAGCGAAAATAAACCATTTAAGCTATTTAACTGCTGACACAAAAATTTCAAATAAATAAAATTAATAAAATCGAATTATATAATTTTATAGGTCTATAGCTGTAGCAAAATAAAATGAAAAGTTTCCACAACCCACTGATTAAAATAATTCAAACCAAATTGGATTTCATAAAGTAGGAGATTAATAGAGTCCCGAAAAAGTATGCTACTATTTTTGATCTCGATGGGCTCGGGATCAACTGGCTGGATACTTTGCCTGCTCTTCTGGGGGGATTCACCTGGACGCGTGCCTCGCTGAGGCTGATCCGCAGGGCGACCTCCTCGCGCAGGAACACGTCGGGATAGTGGGTCTTCTGGAACAGGGCCTCCAGCTCCTGCAGCTGCTGGGGCGTGAAGGTCGTCCGGTTCCGGCGCTGTCGCCTCCGGCCGAACATGTACTCCGTGAGCAGATCGCCGGGCAGCGGCGATATAAACGGACCAGCCATTGTGATGGGTTATTTATGGAGAAAGTTCGGTTCCTTGTTTTTTTAGTTTTATATCTTAGGTCTAAAGTGTTCGTAATTGTTTTATTTTTTCTCGAGGTGTTTCAGATCTTTTCGGGATATTTACTAGATTTTCTTTTTCTGAAGTTGCTTAAATTTGTAAGTGGTAAAAAAAAATCATTTATACATTTTTAAAATATTTATAATTGTTTTATGACATTTTTGCACTTAAAAAAACATTTTTTAATGGTGACAATTGTTAATATATATTTCATTTTTTTGATTACTGGAAAAATAGTGTTTTTGTTTTGGATGTTTAGGTTTTGTTTGATTTTTTGTTGATATATTTTATTTCGCAACAATTTTACATTCGTTTTAAAAGGTTTTTTGTGATTTTGATTGTTTTTCAAATTTTCTTCACTCACGACACACGAAAAAAATGGTTTTTGAAAGTTGATATTTCAAATCGCCGCCAGTTGGCGCCACAAAAAAAAAATGTTTGCTAGGTAAAATTATTTGTTATAGTTTTTATTTTTCGAAGAGCTGTTTTTCGCTGAGCGTTTGGCCAGCGACTGTGGAAATGCAGGCAGCATCCTGCGGCTTTTATGCAGCTGCCAAAGGACTCGGCTAATATATACGTGCATGTGCCTTGGTGTGTGTGTGAGGGTGCGCCTGCGACTCGCTTTATAATTAAGGACCTACTCACACACACGCACAGTTCAAAATCCAGCTAATTGTATTTTACTTGCTTACTTGTTGCTTTGAAAAATATTTCAACTTAAATTAAAAAAATTAATATATACATTTTTTGCTTAATATTTCGTAATATATTGTGTATATATTATAATATATTTATTTATTTGTATTTCTTAAATTTAATTGTGTCCTGCTCTCTTGTTTTCTCTCCCTCTAGCTCTGGCTATTGCCATCTCCCTCTTTCCTTGGCCACGCTGCGCAGCCTCGGATTATTAATCTCGCTCTCTCATTTGCCACAGCCAAAGCTTTCTCCCTCGGCTCTCCTCTCTCCCCGGGTGGTTGTTGTTGTTTATTGTCTTCTCGTTTTGACTTCGTTAAATTACGGCACAAGCACAAAAACCTCGTAAGCGTTGTTGTTTCGCCAACAGTGGGCTAGAACTAGAAAAAAAAATGTAATCAATGGAATCATACATTTTGAAATATTTAGTTGGAACTTACTATCAGATAAATCGTTGTGTTTTTAAAGCACTTATATAAATGGCATAGGTTAGATATTAATTTGCCTTTATACAAAAAAATGTCTTCTCTTCAAGTAATGCATATTTGTTTGGTTCCAAAATAAATATTGAATATTTTTATATACAATTTTATATTTTATTTTATATCATTTTATATATTTTATATTCTATTATTATTATTATTACTTATAAATTATTATATTTTATACTATATATTATTTTATACTCAATTTTCCGTAATAGCCCTTATTAGCCTCCTATTTTTCTTTAGTTTATATTTTCCTCGCAACCCTTTTCCATATTGCTTCCTTACCTTAGTACTTCATACTTCCCCTTTTTAATTATTTTTTATTAACTGCTTTATCCTTTACTTAAATTCCGTTTTTAAAGATTTTGTCCCACTGTGCCGACGTCGTCTGCATTGTTTCGTATATGAAAATGTACCTGTAAATAATAAAATTCAAATCACTTAATGCTGCCGGCAGCGGCGTTGGCAGAGACGCCGACTGCAGCAGAGGAACAATGACAATAAGGCAACACCCCGCACACACACACACACACGCAGGGGGTGGGGGGTGCAAGGACGAAGACAGAGTGGGGGAAAAGGAGGAAGAGCACAAAGGGCGCATAAGAAAATGAGGTTGCCACCACAGCTGATGATGAAGATGAAGATGCAGAAGGGAGGGGTGGGGAGGGGAAAACAATGACTGTCTCTTCTTCTTCTTCTTCTTCAAGCCCCCCTTCCCCGCGTGTCTGTGTGTGTGTTAAACAAATGAAGGGATGTAATTTTCTCATTTGCCTGGCATTGTGTTTTGTTTTTGTTTCGCTTTTTTTGCGCTGCGCTTGCGCTGGAAATTATATTTATTTATTATTTATGAAGAATAGGCGTGGCACTCCACCGCCCACCGCCCCCTTTTGCGCCACCTGCCGGCGCTTTTGTGTGCCGCCTTTTATTTCATTTGCTTCCTTTTGCACACAAGCCAATCATAAGCGAGACCAGCTGTCCTTGTGTTGGTGGCTGCTTCGCTGTGTGTGTGAGAGTGCTCGTGCGTGTGGGTGTGTGTGTGTGTGTGTGTGAGGGTTGACCAGGATAACGAGGATAACGAGCTGAAAACAACTGACAGCGTGACGTTGACAGGCTCTTTCAAATTAAGCGAAATTCTCACAGAAATGTTTCATTGTTTTCGGCCGTGTTTATCATTTTCAAATCGTTTTTTTCGCCTTTTGGTAATTATGTAGTATGTTTTCCAGAGATATCTTTATTTATCTTTGTCAACATATCAAATAAGTCTTTAAAATGTTGAAGAGTTTATTTATAGTTTCTAACTTTTTTAATTTTTTTTACTTTTATTTGAATTTTGATTATTTATCTACATGCATTAAAAAACTATTTTTTGGAACCATTAAAATTGAAATTTAATTTTCTTTCACTTTCTATAAAATCGAATGTTTATGTTTTTCAAAAATCTCTTAAGATCCTTATAAATTTTTTTGTATTCTTATACTCAAAGCCATGATATATGTTAATAATGGAAACATTTAAAATAACATAAATAATTGATTTACCAAGTAGATTGTTTTTTTAAGAAATAGAATTGTATTGTTAAGAAAATTTATTATTCTTGTTTATAAAAATAAAACAGTTTTGAAATTAAAAAAATTATTTTTGTTAATTTATTTGCAAATTTTGAAACATATGTGTATTATACTTTATTTATACATCATATTTTTGTTCTGTTCTTGTTTTTTTTAATAACTGAGTTGTCTTAAAACATAAAATGTTCAAATGATTATTTTATATATTTTGAAAATTATTTGTGCTAGTTCTGGTTAGGTTTTATATGGTTTTATAGATGTCTAAACGGTTTTCAAAGAGTTACATATACTCATTTACTTAATACTGTTTTTCTTAGTTCTTAGTTTTTGGCAAAATGTATAACGTGCTTTTTCACAGGCTTAAAAGACTTATTAGCTGTCTATTTATACCCTGCGTTCTGTTGTTTCACCCGTTTCTCTCCTTTCTCTCCCTTTCTCTCACTTTCTTCCTGGCATTCCCTCAGCGCCATTTTTAATTTTGTAATTTGATGCTGGGCTGTTATGCGCGTGTTGTTGTTTCCTTTTTCCCCGTTTCCCCTTGTTGCTGTTGTTGTTGTTGGAATTCATTAGGCAACGCGCTTTCCACCTGAGCGAGGAGTTTTCCCACCCACTGTTCCCTTTCTCTCTCTCTCACTTTTCCTCCTTCTGCTTGTGTGTGTGTGTTTGTCCATTGTTTTGTCGCGCTGATTGGTCTTTCACTCTGCATGTGTGTTTGTGTGTGAGGGAGCTCCTTTTTGCGTGTATGTGTGCGAGAGTGAGTGAGCGCGCTCTCCATTGTTGTCTTGCCTCTCGCTCTAGCCCTTTGCTGCCGTTGTTAATTATTTATTTTAGCGCGCTCCTCTTCTTCCGCCTCTCATTGTCTCTCTGCCCACTCTTTCGTTCCCTCCCCTCCGCTCCTTCCATTTATTTACCGCTTTTTGATTTAATATGCCGCCAAAACAGAAACAAAATGGCGTCTGCTCGGTGTTCGCTCTAAAGTAGGCAACACTTTTTTCACAAAGTTATTTTTCGAAGGGATTCGGGTTTTGTTAATATTCGTGTGCCTTATAAACGTTATTTACTTACTATATTAGTTATTTACTACTGTTGATTTTTATCTAGTACGCTTATAACAGATGAAAAATCACTATATACATACTTCTAAAGGTTTATGAACAAAGGCGATCGATTACATTATAATTTCTTATTTGAATTTCATTGTACTTCAAGTAAAATCTCAGTATTTTTATTATTTCGAGTTTTTACATTTCTAACAATTAATAAAAAATCTAGTTTTATTAGTTCAAAACTTTATACAAATCTCTTATATTTCGTAATTATATTAATTTCAGTTTTTTTGTATGTGATAAAATGTATCCCCAAGTTTGTTAATATCTGCAAATTTCAAAATGGTATTAAATATAATATTTTAAATTGGACAACGATTTTTTCTTGGGTTTACAAATGCTGCAAAGCAAAAAAAACCTGAATCAAATATAGATATACGCCCTCGAAAACATTTTCCCTGCAGTTTTGACCATCTTTATATTGTTGTTTCCAACGACAAGACAATTAAGATATTGCTATTTTCGTTTCATCTTCAGAAAGTTGTAAGAAATTCAAGTTATAGTTATAGTACATGGATATATGCCCTCGAAAACATTTTTCCTGTAATTTTTCCACACAGAGAAAATTCTGACGTTCTCATCTGAGTTGAACATGTTCTTAAAAATAGGACAACATTTTTGAAGTTGAAAATATTATTATTTTGCTCGAATCAAATTGAATTGGCGGTATATACATTGTATATCTCAACAAATAAGCTATAAGTCCAGTCAGTAGTGTATACTTTCAAGAAGTTGTTAAATAAACTCAATTTAACTTTTCTCTTTTCACCATTTCGTTCTAATATTGAGAACATTTTTAAGAACGAATGTTCTCAATTTAAGAACAATGTGCTTGAATAATTCTCTCTGTGCATCTTTATTAAGCGGGTTTCAACGACAAGACAATTAAGATATTGATATTTTCGTATCTTCTTCAGAAAGTTGTAAAATGAAAGTTATGCCAGTGAGAAGGAGAATGCAGATGGATACCAAACCCCAAAATTCATAAATTCAAACAACCTTCTTAATGCAAAAAAAAAAGAAAACCATTATAAACAATAAAGTTTCGCGTGGCTTGTGCGAATAAAGAGGAATTCCCTGTGGTGAATGGAATGATGATGTTAGTGGGTGGTTTTCGACAGAATTTTGGAAGGTTTTCCGCTGTTGTGTGGTTGTTTTCTTCGCCGCCAAAGACGCTAGTTAATTGGAATTTTTAATTATGATTTGTCAATGCTGGCTAAAAAAAGCGAAACAAAAAATGACGAGGGAAAAAGCCGAAACAAAAAGGATAGCAGGACCAGATATGCTGGGAA